GATTGCAAATTTTTAGCAAATGGGTACAGGAGCAAAAATGAAGGTAAGTTAAGGTAAAACAATAAAAACAATATTAATATTTGTCTGCAAGAGCATAGGTCTCGATATATTACCTAAGATATTTAAACTTGTTCCAGATGCCATGAAACTGCTGTGTTCCTGGGTGCAAATCGAACTATTAGGAGTTCCTTAAAAACTGAAGAAATGCAAACATTTTTATTTCCAAAAAAATTCTGAAGTGCAAAAAATGTGGATGAAAGCAATACACCAAGATAATTATACCCGAGATTATACAATAACGAAAAATTCTGTGGAGTGTTGTAAGCATTTTGAAGAAACCGAAATAATTAGATTTGAAACAAACAAGGATAAAGGCGTAGTTCGCGAGTTCAAACTAAAACGTCCAACTCTTAAAAGTAGGTACCTCTTATTTTCGAAAATCAGCTCAAGTATTTGAATGGACTTGCCTTCCGAAAAAATCCCAAAGAAAGAAAAAGTTAGATTTTCAAAAGACATACTGAAACATAACACTTTAGACTCTAGAAATATATTCATTTAAATCAATTATTTACTGTTCTTATTTACACAAATAGTTAAATTATTCATTGAATTACTGTTTTTGGCCCTTTAGTACAATAAATTATGCATTTTTTGTGATTTATATTAATAAAATAAAAAATATATATTTATACAAACAAACACCACCAGCACCACTTGGCGGTAAGATTGCGGTGTTGCCTTTTTAACTTCATGGCTTGTTAAATGTAGGAGGCTGTGGTAATATCCTTGCTCCTAATTTCAGGATTTTCAGGTTATGTCTTTATGTCTACGTCAAGTAGAAAACAACAGGTTGGTTAGAAACCTTTTTAGAATTCATGCAATAAGTTAGTAAATATTTAAATAATAAAGAAAATACAACAACAATTTAGTTAATTATACCCATCCTTACATTTTAAATAGAAAAAAAAAACTTACTTTGGGTGGGTCTAATGTTTATTGTTTAAGTCGACTGAGTCCCAAATTTAGACACGTTTGAACAACAAATCAATTCTCCTATCCTTCTGATGAGCAAAGTCACAGCCTCGCAAAGTGGTCAATGACTAGTCATTGAAGTTCCCAATTTTTTTGATAAATGCCTTCTCAATACTGAGCATAGACAATGCACTCAAGCTAGACTGCTCTTTCGTGGTTTGGCATAAATCAAGCTTTGCTTTTGGACGACCACTTTTCTTTAATTCCAAAAGTCAATCCCCCACTGGAATTTAAAGATATTATTTCCTGAACAAGGGAACCCATTTTTGTGACGCGATTAAAGAAAGATTCAGGACAGATTACTCAAAAAATTAAATCAAAACAAAAACAATGTGCAGAATGACAATTCAGTAATTGTTTTAAGAAAAATAACTCTGGACACCCCAACACTCTAGGACTGTTGCTTTTTATCTTTCTTCGATAAACGCGATTGAAAAACGACAATAAAATCGTCTAATTCTGAGCGCTCTTGTTCCATTCCGATAAATACCCATATCGATCGATCGAGAATCTGGCGCCATTGCCGGCCGTCGACGTGATGGAACATATGGGAGCAAATGTGCCTCTTCATCTTACTCATTTACGCCCGTTATGTCCTCTCTCTCTGATTCCTATTGCATTCGCCTATGATCATCCCAATTTTGAATACGGCCGAGCGCAGCTAGGCCTGTATTTGTAATTTTAAAAGGCGGGTACCCAATATGCGCAAAATAATTCGATTTCTGTATTCTGTTGAGCGTGATGTTGGTTAATTTAAAACGTAATATTCAAGATGTTTAATTAAAAATTTATTGTTTGATTTTTTGGTGGGTCATTGACCGAATGACCTTACAGAGGAGCCGCGCCTGGTTGTCAACATGAGGGAGAGTTTTCAGGGGGGGCCAGCTAAATTTGAGGGGGGGCCCCGGCCCCCCCTGGCGTCGCCACTGTTCTGGTCACCTGCTGTTGCTGTTGCCGATGGTTACCTCTAAGGTGGATCAGAAAAATCTGCTCCAAAAATCCTTGCCAATATCTGTATCAATAGTCATAATACCATTCCTGGATTTCTGACAGCAGGCTCTCTCCACCTAAAGTAACTTTCAGACGAATTCCAGGACAAAACGAAATTATTGTTATAAATTCACACTTCATGGACTCTCATGGAATCGACAATAGGATTTATCAAACTTTACCCAGAACCCTCTACGGAGAAGTCAAACCACACCAACCAGGATGACAAAGTCAAAAAAACAAAAATTCCGAAAAATTTAAAAAGACTTTCCATTCATAACGATTAACGATAATTCTTTTTATCCCATTTTGACGTTTAAAAATGACATTATTGAACGCATAACAATAAAGGTAAGTAGACGGCGTTTATCACCTCAGTGATTTAAAAACTTTTTAATTCACTCTCGGCATTTTAAGTCACTCTGCCCAACTAAATCTGAAACTTCAGTGATTTAAAATATTTTTAACTCACTCCCGGCATTTTTCCTTGTAAGTACTTTATTTTCCAAATATCCATAAGATGGGATAAAATTCTGCATACATCACGTGAGTTAAAATGTTTATTCATTCGAAGAAAATTAACCCATTCGCTAGGGCTCGTGGGTTAAACTTTCTTCTCATGAATAAATACTCATTTAACTCATTTAAGAACTCACTTGGTGTATAAATAACTATTATCCTATTTTGACGTTTAAAAATGACATTATTGAACGTATAACAATAAAAGTAAGTAGACGTTTATCACTTCAGTAATTTAAAAACATTTTAACTCATTCTCAGCATTTTAAGTCACTCTGTCCAACTAAAAATCTGAAACCTCGCAGTGATTTAAAATATTTTTAACTCACCCCAGTCACCCACGGCATTTTTCCTTGTACTTTATTTTTCAAATCTTCACAAAATGGGATAAAATTTTGTATACATCACATGGGTTAAAATGTTTATTCATTCGAAGGAAATTAACCCACTCGTTAATGCTCGTGGGTTAAGCTTTCTTCTCATGAATAAACATTCATTTAACTCACTTGGTGTATAAATAACTTGAGTTATAGGGAGTTACAAGACATAGGATTTAATTGATACCTGTTATTACATGTTTACATAAGCAATTCCAACACATAAAAAAAAACACCAAAAGTAAAAGAAAAAAACATTTATTTCACTACTATACAGAATTATTGAGGCACGTCCAGTGCCTGGAAATTAATAGGGACTTTTTCAAATGCCTCCATCGATTGGCTCCAGATGGCCATCCTCATCAACATTAAGGGCGCCGGGTAATGACAATGACCACAGAACCTGGGTGACGGATCTATGTGGAGTTACGCGCTCCTCGGAATCCAACTATGCGCCAACTTAAATAAATATTTAAAAAAATGTTATAATCATTGTACTAACAAAAATTATAAGTTTTATCTTACCTGCTTCAACTGTAAATTGAAGAGCCCAACAATGAAGGCCTCCTTCTGGCATCTGCACTTCAGACATTCAAAAACCAGTTTGCACGGATGACTGTTCATTCTGACTAGGAATCTATTATAAATACCATTTGAAGCACTACCATTTCATTTATATGGAAATTTTATCGATCAAATTTAAGTAAGTATTTCTCTTTTAGAAACACAAATACTAAACCCATACATTATTAATATCACACTTAACACTGCATTTAAACTGAATATTGTGTATCAATGGCAAAAAATAACACAACGATCTTTACTTTTCAACGGTTAGTTTTATATTATCCATCCTTCCTAAAAAAAGTTTCGAAAGTGCGGACCAAAATGAAAATATGTTCCCTTTCTTGGGCTGGACAAACAAATCAATAAGGGCCAATAAAACATCTGGTCTCAACTCTGGTTGGTACCTGCTTTGTACCCTTGTCCTTTTTAAAACAACTTATTTTAGATAAAGATTTTAACATTGCTAAATTTTGTTGGTAGGCAAGGTTGTTTGAGAGAGGCAGTTTGCCTGATAAGTTTATGGCGTCATCTGGGGTTCCTCGCGTAATGCAAATCTCCATAAGGCACCCCAGATGCGTTATCAGGTTAACCATTAGCAGGCAACCTATTAACTTTAGGAACCTTGGTCGGTAGGTACTTTCTATTTCAAAGAAATTATTGAAAAAACTGGTAGTTTTTTTGAATACAAATTATATAGCCACTTGATTGACCAAAACTATAATAATTGACTATAAACCTAGATATCAAACATAGAATTTCATCACACATATTTATCATTATGTCCTAGTTGACGTAATTTAGTGTTTTCCTGAAGGCATTGAATTTCTAGCAAAACACTTAACGGAGAAGGATTGGTATGTCCCTATCAACGCGGCCAGCGCCTGATCTACTTTTGCCACTTTCCTTGGTTCGACTACCACTCTCACAAACATTATTGTAAGCAGTTCCAATTAATTTAAATAAATAAATTTCAAAGTTAGTCAAAAGGAATTTTTACTTGTGAAGAAATATTCTGGTATCTCTGTTTAATCCCATCTGCTGAAGATAATCTCCCAAGAGACACAGTTTGGTTTTAGACCCAACCAAGGTACAGCTAACATGATTTTCAATGCAAGACAAATACAAGAGAAATCCAGAGAACAAAATCACCCCCTAAATATGGCCTTTGAAGATTCTGTGAGGAAGTAAATAAAGTTTAAAAATCCTAGATCTCTGGGTTACCGGGCCCGACTTTTTACATCAAGGCGATGAAAGACACTGTTGTTATACAAAACAAAGCCGAAGTATTACCTTAGATTATAGTATTACTAACTCATGAAGTAGATGAAGTATTGGTAGAATTTGTAGCATACTTACTATTAGCTTCGAAAAACAAATATGTAATATGATAAACTAATCTTGGAAAAACTTTCAAATAACAGTCATGTAAGTAGGTATATAGCTAGGTAACAATTATTACATATTTTGCCAGTTATTTTCATGAATTATTCCAGATAAATTTAATTCAATTCTCACCTTTTTATGTACTCTGTTTATATGTAATCCCAGATTCCTAGCACTGCTGTAAGTCTGACTACAAATTTCGCACAAAAATGGCTTTTCTCCAGTGTGAACTATTCGTTTGTGGGTTTCGAATTCGCCAGGTGTCGAATAGCCTTTATCGCATAATGCACATTTGTAGCTTTTGTATTGGCCCGTATGTTTCTTGTTGTGATTGAATAAATTCTGATTTGAGCTAAAAGAAAAAAAAAAATTTAATTCAAGGAACAAAACATATAGAATATAGAATGAAATAAGGAAGATAAATGTCTCTCTCATAGATGTTTGGGGAACCATTGAACTATTAACATCATTTTCTTCCCTACTCTACTAATCATCAACCTATAAATTTCACTTACGCAAAAGTTTCTTCACAAGTGTAACACTTGTAAGGTTTTTCCCCAGTATGCACTCTTCCATGATTGACCAACTGTTGTTTGCTTTTAAATTTCTTCTGGCAAATTTCGCATTGGAAATTTTTAATATCGGAATGAGCAGTTATTATGTGTTGTGTTAGACGGTTGGAGCGTCCCAATAGAGTTTTATTGCAGATATCGCACTGGAATTTGTGCACTTTCCGGTTGCGTTTTGGTAGTTTTGAAGGTTTCCTTCCTGCATTTATTCTCACAAGGTTTTCATTGGTTTCTAGATTTTCATCAGCAGCTTTTTCTTCTTTGATTAAATTTTCTTTTTCATTTTTTATTACATCAATATCAAGGTGTGTTTTAAAAGGGAATTGTTTTTGTTTTAAGATGATATCGGATTTTATGATTAGTGCACGGAAATCGTTTAAGGCTATCAGTTTTTGGTGGCACTGCGAACATAGATAGTTGGAATATGGATCTTTCTCGCTTATCTGGAAAATAATATTCTGATTTATTAGTTTGATATTGAAATGCTGAAAATGGAAAAGTATACTTAATAAAGAGTAGGTCGTTTCAAAAGTTGTTCTGCAGATAATTGAGTTTTTGAAATTTACTGTTTTTATAAGAGAAATGGTAGAAGTGAAAACATTTCAATACTTCTAAAATACTTGACACAGCATTTTAATATCTATCCTCTCCCAAAAATCCTTCAGTTCAGAATCATTTTCTTCATACCAACATAGCTACTATTTATTTTTCATTTTTCTGTTAGAATATACATAATATATAGCAAAGTTTACCTGAACTGAAGCACATTCCTCGATAATTTCAGAAATTGTCTTGTTTAATTTGACTTCCTTTGAAATATGCGTACCCTCTATGCAAGGGAAAAATTCCAAACAAATTCTACAGTAGTCTTCATCAAGATATTGCATCTTCAAAACAACAAATAATTATTTAAATTATTATCAAATTTGAAATTTCATGTTTTTGTTTATTTACATTTACTGACATCTCTCACAGCACAGCACATGAGTGAAATACGGGGCATGTACCGTTTTCATCTAAAAAGGTTAGAAGAACAACTGAGCTGGGGTGAGTTCAGGAATGACACACCCAGTGTGATTGTGACACCGGTGCGACGCGATAGCTGTTCAAAAATGCTAGACGATGCTATGGGCCCAATGACACACCCATAAAATCGCACCCTGTGCGTTATTTCTGAACTCGACCCTGCTTTCCAGTGCCTTAAATTATTAGAGTATTATGCTCCTGGAGTGTGATGCTCTTGAACTGTTCGACATAAACAGCACTGGAACGCTCTCGTCTTAACCCCCATCCTTTCGGACTTTGGGAGCATGGAACACCGAAATATTGGTTGGTACACGGGGGGGCAGGGGATAATAGGAATGAGTAGTTCCAGTGTATGACACTCTAAGCACTGGAATGCACAAAGCAATTGTGGAGCACTCCTGAGTTGCTCAAGAGTAACTCAAATGGGTCACTGGAAAGCACCTCTGATGGCGATTTCCATTTGTCAGTCAGTGCGCACTGAGTGTATACGCATCTTTTTCTAAAAGCATATAACATGTAAGGATAAGGATACTTTTATTGCACTGGTTCGACAAATGGAAATCGCTATGAATTCCAGATGGCTCTTTTCAACTCTACAGTCCACTGCTTCGGAAATTGATTCCGGAGTAAACCGAGCAAAATTATTTGCATTCGTCGGGTATTGACCAAGAATCGTAAGGTATTGACCTTTTGTTTCGACGCCATATTGCGGTGCGTGAACATTTGCCAATAGGGTACTTCCATGGAAAATTAAATTGATTATTGTTTATTGCAAACTGTAGGAAATCGAAAAAAAATCGTTACTTTTTTTTTATTCCGCCCAAATATGATTATTCCGGAAGTTATACAATATTAAGTTTTTTATATTGAGCATGTGCGACGTCACAACTCACAACGTATTATACCTAAGTTATGACGTCGGAAGGACATTTAAAAGCGTTGTATCTCCGTCAATTTTTGACTAACAAGAAAAAGAAAAAACACGTGTTGACTTATTTTTCATGGACTATTGAAATCAGCAATAAAAAAAAATGATGCAAGGGGCCTATTGCCAAAAGTAGAAAAAAATGCCGGGAGTGAGTTAAATAGTTATTTATGATATAAGTGCTAAAAGTGACATTTTATTTTGTGAAAAGGGAAGTTTGGGACACGACGCCGAAGGCGGAGTGTTCCATCCCTTTGAACAAAATAAAATCACTTTTAGCACGAATATCATACACTATTTTTTCTAGAAACGCACTAAAAGTGATTACTTTTAGCACCAGTGTCATAAAATGGCATTTTAGACACTGACAGCATCCGTTAAAAATGACACTTTTAGTGACGTTTGTAGAAAAAATATTTTTTCTCCAAACGTCAAAAAAACGTCACTTTGTCAGCACTTGTCAAGATGTTAGAATTTTAATTTCTATGCTGTTGACTTTACCTAGGTAGAAAATTTGACTTTGTTAACAGTTAATGCACTGTTTAACTGTCAACACAGTCAAATTTTCTCTCGAGAGAAAGTCAAGAATAAGGCCTCTGGTAGGCAAATCCAGCGGGTTTACACCTGTCGAGGTGGTAGAAATTTAATTTTTCTCCAAACGTCAGAAAAACGTCACTTTGTTAACTCCTGTCAAGATGTCAGAAATTTGATTTCTATGCTGCTAGTCAAATCCAGCGGGTTAACACCTCTGTCGAGGTGGTAGAAATTTAATTTCTATGCTGCTTGGCAACCCCAGCGGCAGCAAAAGTACTTTTAGTGCCGCTGGAGCGGCAGAAGTACTTTTAGTGCCGCTCGTACTTTTACTGCCGCTCAACCATTCACTTGCCCCCGAGCTTACCCCATTCGTTTGGAGAAAAAATAGCGTGTTGCATACGGAGTAGAAGCACTTTTTGTGCTGAAGCGGTAGGTTTGCGAGCCGAACGTAGTGAGGCTCGCAAACCTACCGCTTCAGCACAAAAAAGTAAAGCTTCTACTCCTAATACAACAATATACTATTTTCTCCAAACGTCAAAAAAACGCCACTTTGTTAACTTCTGTCAAGATGTCAGAAATTTAATTTCTATGCTGGTAGGCAAATCCAGCAGGTTAACACCTGTCGAGGTGGTAGAAATTCAATTTCTATGCTGCTTGGCAACCCCAGCGGCAGCAAAAGTACTTTTAGTGCCGCTGGAGCGACAGCAAAAGTACTTTTAGTGCCGCTCGTACTTTTACTGCCGCTTAACCATCCATTTACCCCCGAGCTTACCCCATTTGTTTGAAGAAAAAATAGTGTGTTGCATACGGAGTACAAGCACTTTTTTGTGCTTCAGCAGTATTGCAAGCCTCACTACGTTCGGCTCGCAAACCTACTGCTTCAGCACAAAAAAGTAAAGCTTCTACTCCTAATACAACAATATACTATTTTATGCTGCTAGGCAACCGCAGCGGCAGTAGAAGTACTTTTAGTGCCGCTGGAGCGGCATCAAAAGTACTTTTAGTGCCGCTCGTACTTTTACTGCCGCTTAACCATTCAGTTACCCCCGAGCTTACTTCATTCGTTTGGAGAAAAAATAACGTGTTGCATACGGAGTAGAAGCACTTTTTTGTGCCTCAGCAGTATTGCAAGCCTCACTACGTTCGGCTCGCAAACCTACTGCTTCAGCACAAAAAAGTAAAGCTTCTACTCCTAATATAATAATATACTATTAAATCATTGAGATTTCAGATTTTTAGTTGGGCAGAGTGACTCAAAATGCCGCGAGTGAGTTAAAATGTTTTTAAGGGCGGGTATTAAAAAACTACTTTGGGAGTTAACTTAAAGTTAACTTCTGGAATTACATGTATTTCAAAAAGTTAACTTGAAGTTAACTGTCAAAGCAGTTTTATAATACCCGCCCTAAATCACTGACGTGATAAACGTCTACTTACCTTTATTGTTATGCGTTTAATAATGTAATTTTTAAACGTCAAAATGGGATAATAGTACATTAAAATACAAGTTTCATAAAATGTCTTATGAAACGAATATTTTATACTATTTTTTCTATTTTGGTATTGTTTAATTAAAAAAAAAAAAACTTTTCTTGGAAATTTTATTCTCATATTTCCTGATTTTATATGTTTAGGTTGGTAACCCTACATGCCAAATATAAAAATCTTGGGCGCTGTCTTTTATTCAGCGGTGGATCCATCAGTAATTAGCCTTTCTTTGTCTAGCTCATAGAAAATAGGAATGTCTGTCTTATTATGATGGCAGCAGATGGATGCATTGCTGAATAAAAGAACGCGCCCCTTCTATTATTTTTTATTGTGAATTGACAGTTCGATGGCCATCAGTCAGCCAGTGTTACCAACCTGCGATAAGTAAAAAAGGAGTGTCACAAAGGCTTCTTTTCGAAACTACTTTTAGTGTCAAAAAGACTTCGGTATGACACCAAAATAGAAAATAGTACATTAAAATACAAGTTTCGTAAGACGTCATTTTATCGCACGAGCCCTATATTAGAAAACGAGCCAAAGGCGAGTTTTCTAAAGGGCGAGTGCGATAAAATGTCTTATGAAACGAATATTTTATACTATTTTTTCTATTTTGGTATTGTTTAATTGAAAAAAAACAAACTTTTCTTGGAAATTTCATTCTCATATTTCCTGATTTCATATGTTTAGGTTGGCAACACTACATGCCAAATATAGAAATCTTCTATTAGGCGATTTCGGCAAGCTTTGGTACATGGTTTGGTACCCTGTTTGGTCTGTCAAATGCATACCAACCAATTTCGGATACGAAAATGATGTCGTCACCGTGACTTTGGTATCCTTTTTGGTCTGTCAAATAGGATACCGTGGTCAGCAGCACGGTTCTTCTATTTGGTATAGCGCTATCTACGTCTATTTTCGTTTTGTCCTGCTCTGGGAAATGTAAATAAATGAAAGTTCATTATAATTTGAATAATTTGAAATTTTTAGCAAATATATTTGTTTTTCGCCTTCATTTTCCATGTTTGGACTGCCAAATAATGTTTAACGATCATTTAAAAAATGGCTTTGAACGACAGATATGGGGTAACTTTTTTGCTGAATGGATTATGGAATAAGCTTTACATTTACAGAAAATGCTGAGTTAGCCAATAGGTTACTACTCAAAGGTACTGTCTAGACAGTGCGTGCTGATTAGTGATTATAGATTTTACTGATTTTAGTCGGTGCAGTCAGTACCTAGTCACTCCCAAAACTAGAAGAACAACAAAGAGTTAGGTTAAGGCTCGTCTCTTCCCCTCTCTCATGACCTACCAAACGAATTCGGAATAAAATGGTGTCTTACGTCATTTCTATGACGTTGCAGGTACCAATTGGTTAACCAAATGGTATACCAACCAAAGCTTGCCGAAATCGCCTATTATTTTTTATCGCGAATGTCAGTTCAATGGCCATCAATCAGCCAGTGTTACCAACCTCCGATAAGTAAAAAAGGAGTGTCACAAAGAGCTTCTTTTCGAAACTACTTTTAGTGTCAAAAAGACTTCGGTATGACACCAAAATAGAAAAAATAAAAAATAAAATTGTTTTTCTATTTTGGTGTCATATCGAAGTCTTTTCGACACTAAAAGTAGTTTCGAAAAGAAGCACTTTGTGACACTCCTTTTTTACTTATCGGAGGTTGGTAACACTGGCTGACTGATGGCCATCGAACTGTCATTCGCGATAAAAAATAATAGAAGATTTCTATATTTGGCATGTTGTGTTGCCAACCTAAACATATGAAATCAGGAAATATGAGAATAAAATTTCCAACAAAAGTTTTTTTTTAAATTAATTATATGCTCCTGCACTTCGTCCTCTAGATCAATAATATTCACTTGTAGTACGTAAGTTCTACTGCTCTGCGCCATAGTGTTTAAAGAAATTTCCGAGAATAAGGTTCCAAGAGTTCATATGCCTAATATGGCATATGACACCT